TGGTTGAAGAAAAGAGAGAACAAAAGCCCTCCCTCTCTAACTAACTGAGAGTCTGAGACTTGAGCACAAACATGAAATAATAGGGTTAGAAATTAAAAGAACTGGAACTGAGGAAGAAGAAAAAGAAGAGAGGAATTGAAAGTTGAAACTTGAAACTTGAAACTTGAAACCGATGAGATGAGTCTCTAGGGTTTGCATCTTATAATGTCTTCAAGTAAGGACCGACGACACCTTAGGCCAATGAGCTGGTTTTAGGGTTTCGGGCAGCGGGCAGGCTGTACGTCCAGCATCAAAATGGCTTGCCCTATTGATTAAACAAATAATATCGTCTCTGTTCATTGAACATTTGGAACATTTATCTATGCGCAAGTGGGCAATACCCGCCGAATCTGGAATTTTATCTAATGGAAAGAAAGAGAGATCTATCGAGCTGCAACGAGGACCATGATGTCCCTTTGTGTGTCCTCCTTAGATAGAGATAGAATCATAGAATGTTATCCCCAACCCAAGCTACGCGGCAGTGACGGCACCTTGCAAATCGACGGCTCCGGTTTATTGGTCTTCCTCATTTGTCAACGGTCAACCTTTACATCTGATTGTCACTCTTCGTAAATATGCACCTGTATGGGATTGGGACCCACGGCTAGACATAGACTCTAAAACAATAACCGTCTGTTTAAATCAGCTCCCACGGATTGCCACCCACAACGTTCTACAGCTCATTACCGCCGTATACTGGGAATATTTCCTGAAAATGATATTATCATTGGGAGATAATTTTAATACACGGCAAAAATGTATTGTGGAGGTTGATTTGATCTCATCCCCCTATCCCTATATTGTGCAGATTGATTACTTATAAGATGATTACATACAGACCTAGGTTGTGTCAATGGACCGGTTTTGAGTTGAATTTCATCCAAATTAAAATCAATTTAAACGGATTTAACGAATTAAAATTGGACCAAGGTTCAAAGTATTTATTGGATTGGACGATGTGTATTTGTAATGAATTTATATTAGAAATACAACCGTCCATGGACCAAGTTTAGATTGGAACCAGATTATTTGAACATATTGAACAATCCACACATTAGCGAATCAAATAAACAGAATGCAGTTGATCACTTATGAACAATGCGTTTGGAGGTTCAACCTGGTTCCCGTCCCTCATGGGCACGGAGAAGTTTGTTAATCGAGAGGGATTTACTAAAGAAAGGATTTAGTATAAACAACATATGGGAGGACTCATCGATTTGTGAGTTACCAAGGTGGGGGATCTGATGAATCAAAGATCAAGGACCTGGAATGGGAGAGTTGCTTAGATCCCTGTTTTCAAATGAGAAAATCCTTGCTATCTTGGCAATTCCATTGAGCTGGTATCCCACTCAAGACACAATGGGCTGGGGCCTAACAAATAATGGTAGTTTCTCGGGGTAAAATATGCGTATCATTTGGCAATTAGCTTAGATGAGGAAAGTAACCACGCTACTGGAAGCTAAGGTGAACCAATCTATCTTGAAAGGTGTTTGGAATATGCAATTACTCTAAGGCCTGCATTCATTTTTCAGTAAGTTATTTACCCGGGTATATGTAATCACTTAGGTAAGTTTTTCTTGGAAAACACTTATCCAGGTAAGTGCATTTATCCATGTTCTTTTATTTTCCAAGTAAAAGAGGAAATGACTATTTTAACCATAAATATTCATTATCAAATGGGTATTTTTGTCCCATTCAAGTGTTGGAAACTTTCCCCAAGTGTGAAATTTATTTGACCACCTGGGAGATCCGGGTAAGTGATACCCAAAAAAATAAACTTTCCTTAGTTCCCATATTAATCTGAAAAAAGAATATGGGATTCTTGGTCAATGGGAATCAAAATCCCATTAACCAACTTTCCCCCATCTCAAAATCCAAAAAAATAACACCCCCCCAAGAATTATTTTTTTTTCTATGGAGGTGTATTCACAACTCCCTCCCAACATTAGTGTGTTTGAAAAGAAGACATTTACCAGAAGAGGAGACATGCCCAAGATGCAGTGAGCAGGCTGAAACTATAAATCACTTGCTCATCCATAGCCCTTTTGCAAAGGCGATTTGGTTTTGGACTAAACATCCCAATTCAAACCAACTTGGTTCAGCAGAATTTGTTACAGGAGTGGTTTTGTGATTGGATTGACACAAAAAGGAATCAAAATAATCCAGAAGTGCTTATGGCTATCACATGCTGGCTTATATGGAAATCCAGAAATGAATTGGTTCATCAAGGTACACAAGACTCTCCTATTTCTGTAATTGAAAAAGCTCTGCTTTTAACAGCAGAATTAAAGGATTCTTTTCAGACTTCTCTTTGGCCAAATGGATCCTCCCTCTCTTATAGCCACTGAGAAAAACCTCCACGAGGTTTTGTTAAGTTGAACTCAGATGCAACAAAATCCAAAACAGATCCGAATGCAGCAAATAGGCTTCATTATTAGATCAGCTTCCGGTGACTTAATAGTGGTAGGAGGTGGACCAATAGCCTCTTCTTCAATATCAATCTTGGAAGCGCTGGCAATCAGACGCAATTTGGCCGAGGCTATTAGGCGTGGCATCAGACAAGTTTTGGTTAAATCAGATTGCAAAGAAGTAATTGAAGGCATTTAAAAAGGAGATGAGAATCATTTTAGTGAGCTCTGGCCTGTTCTATCTGATATGCTTTTATTGCTTGAAAGGTTTCAGCAGATCTCCTTCAAATGGATTAGCAGGACTGCAATCATGCAACTCATCAAATAGCAGCATTCAATTCCCGTTCGCAAAGATGGAACGAGTGGAATGTTTTGGCTCCTCCTTGGCAGGAGAACTTAATCAGTTTAGAAAACTGATTGCGGCACTCTATTGTTTGTTTCAGTTTTAATACCCAAAAAAAAAATCCAGACATTAAATTGGACTGATTCAAAATGGTCTAAGAGTATTCATCGCATTAAACTGGACCTAATCCATATGTAATGGACTTAAATTGGACCAAATCCGATCCAACTGACACCCCTAACCAGCAGGGCTACTGAGGTCAACAAGAAAATTTTGGTTATTTGTATTCGACACTCATACAGTGATGCAAGCAACCGGATTCCCTGCAATTAAAAACTCAGTGCACATTACTCTAATAAGAAGGAAGTGATACTGCCATGGAGAGGCGTGTTAATATCAGCTACCCACAAGACATTACAATCGTACATAGGGAATATCTCTTTACTTTACTTGTATGTGTATAATGGGAGATCTTTCCAATGCGCCGCTCCTGTGCATTGGTGTGAGTAGAGCCTTTGTAAACAGATCCAGACTGAACAGATGCATGAATGAGAAATCCATGCATCGTGAACTTCTCCCATAAATGAAAACGTGCAAGTATGCCAGATGTTTACTCACTAAAACAAAAACAAAAGAGAATATATTTTCACCAGGAAAATAAAGTTATAGAAATAGGAACGTACCAGACCACTAGTTGTATCTAGGCCCAAATTGTCAAATTCCAAGGATGAATAACCATCAATGAAAACTACCCATAAATAAAATCTAAATCAGGCATCAACCAGACAGCTCAGGATCTGCTGCAAACACAATTGTATTAATTATCAATCACGAGTGGACTTACCAGTGTTCCATACGTGGGTCTCATAATCACATAACATTATCATAGGCGGCGTTTGGCATCGGTACCATTTTCTGAGAAAACGGCACCACGTAGAAACCATATCAGAAAAAGTGGTGTTTCAGAAAGCGGCCTCTTATTGGTATCATTTTTCTAGAAAAAATGTTGCTTCAGACTATGTCTTAGAAATCAAGAAAGTGTGGTATGAAGAAACACTAGATTCAATGTTTTCTCAAAAAAACAGCCCATTGCTGCCAGCAGGTGCAATGATGTGGCATTATCTTGAACGTTGGATAATATGACCAATGCTGAAAATGATTCTATGTCACTGGTACCAAACAAAACTAGTGCTGTTTTTCCAAAAAACAGCCTATGTGGTAGCACCGCTTCCAAACAAAGAATAAGCACCGTTTTGAAAATAGTACTGTGTTCCCAACACCGATACCAAACACCTACTGACCTACATATTCACTCGTGATTGGTCACCTAGCCATGTTCGCACATGTGTTTCCAGACTCGATCCAGACAGCCCATTGAACTGGTAGACCCATAATCACACCATATCCAGATTCCAACCGGATAGTCCATTGAATTGGCAAAACCCATAAACATCATGTCTGTCACCGCCAGGTTTGGACCTAAATGATATAAACCGCATTTCTTATATACAAAACATGTTATATAAACCGTTGTTTTTGAACCCTATGTGCCCCATTTGAGTGATACAAAAGGTTCGTTTGATTCATATCAAAATTGAAATCGAAATCCCTCAAAATCGGAATCAAAATAGTCTATTCTCATAGTTTATTTGGTTCAGAATGTGAATTAGAATCAACTAGAATGTTTAAATGGGAAAATGCCATTCCACCAGAAATAAGATTAGGATTCTAATAATGCCCAACCAAACAGTTAGAATCAGAACAAATCCAATTGCAAACCCTTATTCTTGCAAACCAAACAGGCCCCAATATCAAGTGCCAATTGTTAGTTTTTAATAATCATCTTTGTCACCCAACTTCTGAATATTAGACTCAACAGCTTCACATAGATGCCAATTGAAGTACATAGGCCATCGCAGTTCATTTCTATTAATACTGTCATGCAAAACCTCCTTTAACTGGTTATATTTTACAAAGTCTAAGGGGTTGCCCAGTTGGTGTGCCGGTACACCGGATGAATAGTAGCAACACCCATGGGTGTCAAGCAGAGATTAATACAAAAAAAAATACCATTAAAGACTTTAACAACATTTAAGGGTGTCAACCATGATGCGTCACAGTATTATTTATTCACATTTTTTGTTTCCCTATGCAGTTTATGAATCATAATTTTTGTCTGGATTTGGAAAAGGAGATATTGCTAGTTCATGTATCAGCAAAGCAAAATTCTTTTTCACCCTTTCTATCATTTACAAAAGGGCAAATTTGGTAATAATGTAACGGTACATGTACAGACTCCTGGACACAGCAACCCTAGTATACCACACCCTTAAGGGTGATAATTTTCTCATATTTTGATCTATACACAACTCCAATCTCGAGAAATGGAATTCTTGGAGGAAGAAAAAAGGAAAAATCCACCCATTTAGTCATTTACAATTTCTCCACCTTGATAGCGTCCATCTCTTGTGATTCAGCCAACAGCCTTGCATACTCACGTTGAACCTCTTCAAGCTCGCTTCTAAGCCGCTGTACCTGTGTGCCAAATTGAAACGACTCAACAAGATTTTAAAATGTGTATATAAACATGAAAATTGACTTAGGCAACCAAGATACGACTCCGGATCTCCACCCACGCTTACCCACAATACACTACCCCCCCGTGAATTGGGAACATCTCCCCCTGCATAATACCATGCAGAGGATGAGATGTTCTCCATGTATGGCTCCGATAAACGTGGGCAGGAGACCCGGACTCCCAAGATACAGGACGGAAACTCGAAAAATGGATGGGGACAAAAGTCGTCTGATTTTGATCTTTCATATCAAAATGAACTTGTAAGAACAATTTTGGGGGTGTTCAAAATGGGTTGGCTTTGTTTTCGTAAACAAAAACAATTGCAACATCAGCAAAATTATATCGTTTTTGCTTCTTAACATGTTAGAGCAATGATATCTGTTCCCATGCCTCCTTGAAATACCTTGAGATTAAGTTGTTGTTGCATCTTCTCATATTCCTCGCACCTGAAAAAAGCGATAAACACAGTAACAAGGATAATCCAGATGGACTAAGAAAAAGTCTTGGTTCCATAAAGGGTAAACTTGTTAAATGTGGCCATTTTTTTTGATAAATAACATCAATTCCATTAAAATAATGAATAGATACAAGAAGATCCCCTTAGAGGCGCAAGGACAAGCCTCTCCAAACAGCAAATACACAAACTACAACAGAGAAAACATGAATGTTGAAATTAAAACAATAGTTACAATTGTGCCCAGAACAATGTTAAACTATTTATCCCTTGTTTTGCCAAGACATTAACAAAAGCATTAGCTGATCTCCCAACCCATTGTACTGTTATAGACATATTTCTTGTCA